TGCGCCCGGCGCCACAGCCCAGCTGTGCCTGGGAGCGGGAAAGCGGCTGGGGGAGCCACTCCAAAGAAGGGACCCAGCACCCCCGCCAGGAGGCAGCCGGGCACCAGCTTCGGCAGCGGCTGCCTGTTGTTGCTGACACCAGGGTCTCCATTGCCCCAGCAAGGGCTGGCCCCGAGCCGTGCCCCCGCCCCCCTCCAGGGACCCTGCTTCCAACGCTCGGGGCCAGGCCTCACCCTGCCACTGACCCAGCGCAGCCGTGTGTGACGAACTGGGCCTGTTCTCACTGTGGTCTGTGAATGCTGACAGGGGAGTGTGCTGGGATAGTCTGCATTGGGGGATGGGATCTGCCCGGGGGCGCATTCCTGGGTGTGTAACATGAGAACCCAGGAAGGGGTTGAAGGCCAGGTGACTCCTGAGCCAGGGAAACTGGACAAAGGCTGTGGGAGGGGTCGCTGAAGGCAGTGTGCTGGTAGCGAGCTGGAGAGATGGCTGGGAGACAGAGATGGCTCTGACCCCCCCCCGAAGGGGGGCGGGCTGGAATGCCCGGGGACCCCAAGCTGGACTTAACTGAGGGGGTCCTGTTGTCTGTGCATGCAAGACCTGTCCTGGACTGTATTCCTGTCATCCAAATAAACCTTCTGCTTTACTGGCTGGCTGAGAGTCATGGTGAATCGCAGGGAGCCAGGGGTGCAGGGCCCTGAGTCCCCCAATACTCCGTGACACCGTGTCTACACTACAACCTGGAACTGAGCCGCCCGCAGGCGCCCTCCGGAGCCAGAGTCCAGCAGCAGCTTCCTCGCTACCAGCCCTGGCTGGGGACCACCCGTGGGGCTTGGCACCCGCCAGGTTGGTCCCGGTCCCATGAGCCCACGTGGGGCACTGCCTGCTGGGCTGCACAGATTCCTCACCTTCACCCTGTGGTTCTGAAACCGGGGGTGACCCCTGGACACAGCATCCCCTGCAGCCCGGACAGGGCCGGCTGGCTTCACTTTGGCCAGGCCTGCCCCTCAGCCGAGCCCGCTGCCCCGTCCTACTGCTTTGTACTGCCACGTGCAGGGGAGGAAATCCAGGCCCGGGGCAGGAAGGGCTCCCCCATTAGAGCAATAGCCCCGTACCCGGGTTTCCCATCCAGCCCCACAGCTGGCTAGTCCCGCCCCCAGGCGAGCGTTCCTGGGCTGCTGTCACGAGCCACCCCGCCGGGCCCTGAGCCTCCCTGGGCATCCAGGCTGCAGGTGCTCACGGCCCCGGGGCAGCAGCTCCGCTCCCCGCGCTGTGGGGGTCACGGCCGCAGCGCCAGGCCCACCAGCTGCCTCATTCCAGCACGCGTTGTGCGGCCCACCCCCGCCGAGCCCCAGCACCGGGGGCCACGGCCCTGCCCGTGAGGGGGGCTGGGGTAGAGGGGCTCAGCAGCACGGGCTGGGGTGTCCTCTGTAACGTAAGGGGGGGCTCAAGGGCTCCCCCCACACCAGACCCCTCCCCCATTCCCCCCGCTGCTCCAGGGCCCCCCGTTGCCAGGCTCTCTGTTGGGCCATTGGGAAGCACCCGGCGCCCGTCTGCAGCACACACACTTTATTGGTTCAACAGCACGTCACCGTGTCAGCCAGCGACTCCCCTTCGTACAAAAATAAATACTCAGCGTCTGCACAGCACGGCCCCCACGCCAACCAGGGCATGGCACAGAGCCAGGGGCAGGCAGGAGGATGCAGGGCCATCCCCTCATCGCAGGGCACCCGGCCTGGGGCGAGCTCTGCTCTACAGCCGCAGAGCAGGGCCCCCCCGAGCACAGCGGGGGCTGCGAATGTCAGGCCCAGCCATGGCTACCGGGATGTTCTGAACTTGCCTCCAGTGGCTCCACTTTGAGCCGGCACCCACTGTGCTCCGGGGGCAGGACTGGGAGGGAGAGGGGCCGCTGAGCCCTGCTTGTCTGGGATATGGGCGCTTGGGGACACAGACAGGGCTGTGACATGGGGGGTGAAGGGTGGGGAGGCTGAAATGGCTCATCGCACGAGCCTGGGCGCACACGGCTGCACACGCAGGGCCCCTCTGGCATGGGGGTGTATTGACACCACCCCCTCACTGCTTCGAGCTTGGGTACCCCGTCCCCTCCACCCCCTGCGCCCAGCCCCTCGGTGCGGAGGGACCGGACAGTGCCCAGCTGCTCCATCGCAACGAGGCATGCCCCTATAGCGGGATTCCCATGGTGATTGTAGGGCGAGGGGCTACTGGGTTCTTCCCCCTTTCTCTCCCAGTCGATCGGCTCTGGTTTGCAGTGCAGTGCAGGGTCTATGTACCACGACATAGCCATGGGGGCGAGAAGCAGGATGACCCCCACCCAGGGGAGTCTTGTGATTGGCTGAACAAATGAGGGGGAAGGCGGGGCTTGTTGGAGCCAGCACGGCAGATTGTCTGCTTCGGCCCATGGAGTCCAGGTGTCTAATCAGATCAGTGGGTGGCCGCCCCATGATCCCTTCAGCAGCACCCTCCCCGCAGGGGCTCGAGGCCGGGGCCAGTTTGGGTGCAGGTGGGGCGCCTGCTACTTCCTCGTCTCCACCCGGGGGATTTTAAACAGCGTCGCAGACGGAGACCTGCAAAACCAAGCAGAGGGGGCGGGTCACCCCAGCGGCCAGGTAACCCCAACACCCGACTCATCTCGGCACATCCCTGCACTCGGGTCAGTCCCAGCGCCCAGATAACCCCGGCACCCAGCACATTCCAGGGCCTGGCTCACCCCAGCGCCCGGGTCAGTCCCAGCGCCCAGATAACCCCGGCACCCAGCACATTCCAGGGCCTGGCTCACCCCAGCGCCCGGGTCAGTCCCAGTGCCCAGATAACCCCGGCACCCGGCACATCCCAGGGCCCGGCTTACCCCAGCGCCCGGGTCAGTCCCAGTGCCCAGATAACCCCGGCACCCGGCTCATCCCAGCGCCCGGGGAAAAGCACCCCCCCAAAAGCAGAGGGGCCGAGGCAAGATGTCCCTAGCGCTGGGCCCGGACGAAGGCTGAGTCAGGCACCACAGGCTGTAATGCCTGGGAACGTCGCCCGAGATTCCTCACCAGGGCCAAGCAGAGCACGGCCTCTCCGCCCACCCCTGGCAAGCTGGGCCCTGCCGCACGGGAGCTGGGACGGTGCCCATGCAGCACAGACGTGGCCAGGGAAGCCTCCACCTGCAGCCATGCCCCTCGCTGCAGCCTCCTCGGTGAACGGTGCCCATGAGCCACAGGGGCGCCTGGGGCCCTCAGGTGCACAGGGCTCGGTGGCCCCCTGCCCCCCCACACGCTGGACCCAACACCCCCACAAGCCCCCTGCTTCCCGTTGCAAGGGGCTCCAACACCCCTGCCAGTCGGCCCCTCCACACCCCAGGGCGCCCCTCTGGGATATTCGCTAGCCTCCCCCCTCTCAGCCCCTCGCCCCCCCGCTCGCAGGCCCTCGCCTCCCCAGACCCTCTGCTGCTGGCAGCGCCGCCCTCACCCCCAGGCCCTGTGGAGGGAGCTGGGGCAGGTACTTACATCTCCAGGGCTTCCCCGTTGCTCCTGGCGGGAGAGAGGAAGGCTGTCAGTGGGGATGGACGCGCTCCCCCACTCCCGCCCCACAGCGCTGGCAGACGATCTGCGCAGGGCAGGGCCCCACCAACCGGGCTTCGGGCTGGGGGCACGTACCCCCGATTCTCAGGGAGGGTGGGCTGGGCTGGACGGACCCAGCTGGGCAGCTCCGGGCCAGAAGGGGAAGGGCCTGGCCTCCCCGAGACACCCCGGGCCCCAGCATCAACCCCCACACCCGCACATGGGCCAGAACCAGCACCTGCCAGACCCACTGGGGCAGCGAGGGCGGCCGAGTGCCAGTCGCAGCTGGCGCCCTCACGGGTGCCTAGAGGGGAGGGGAGACTGGCCCTAGGGATCCCTGGGATGGCCCGGCCCCGCCGGCTCCTCACCCCAGGCAGGGGAAAGCGGGCAGGGCCGGCCTAGCCGCCGGTGTTGGGCTATTCCGGGCCCATGGCCAGCCGAGGGGTGCTGGTTCTCCCGCCTCGGGTCAGACCAATACCACATCCCCATCTGGCTCGAACATGGGGGAAGGAACTCCGGGAGGAAGTGAAACCAGCAAGGTCCCCCCGCTGCGTCTCCAGGAGCCGGCTCAGGCTGATTCCAGGGACCCGTGGGCAGGTGCAGGGGCTGGCGGAGGCCAGAGAGCCCTGCCCAGAGAGCGCAAAGGGGCAGGGCACCAGCAGAACCAGGGGCAGCCCCACACACAGCCACCCTGCCCCGGGACGGTATGTGCAGGGGCAGGGCAGGGCGCCAGCGGGACCAGGGGCAGCCCCACACACAGCCACCCTGCCCCAGGACGATACGGGCAGGGGCAGGGCAGGGCGCTCTGCGCGGCTGTGCGGAGGAAATCCCCAGCTCCGTGCCCACGGGAGGGAGGGTTGGTTCTGTGGCCCCACTGTGTTGCAGGCCATGGGCAGAAGCCTGTGAACCTGCCACCTTCATAGCAGCCATGTTTCCTCCCTCACCCCTTTCCCAGGTGCAGCAGTGGGGCTGGGCTGGGCAGGGGCCCACAAGCCCTGTGCCGCTGGGGGCGCATGGGAGGGGACCAGCTCGTGGCACATGGGGGCCAGGGTTAATTCACAGCCTGCTCCAAGGCACAGTGTGGGGCTGGGCACATGGTAGGGGTCAGTCGGGGCGGGGGGCGTCAGAGGGGTTGGGGCAGGGTTGGCCATGGCGGCAGTGGAATATGTGGCAGGGGCTTAAGGGCCGGCAGGGGGCGTGAGAGGGGCTTGGCCCCTGGCTGGGGGCACGGCAGGGGTGTGAAGGGGTTGGGGCAGGGCTCGGCCACGGTGGGGGTCGCCCGTGGCAGGGGGTTGGCTGTGGTGAGGGTGTGAGGGGGTTGGGGAGGGGTCAGGCCGTGGCGGGGGGTCGATGTGCTCACGCCCTGGGGCGCAGGAGCCTCCTTACTCGTAGACGTCGGCGATCTTCATGCGCCGGTAGAACTTGGCGAGCCGCACGGCCAGGATGACGCCGGGGAGCAGGAACATCGTGCACCAGCCCAGGCTGAACCAGAAGCCGTTCTGGCAGGAGAGAGAAGCCCCCAGTCGTCAGCGCCCGCCCAGCAGCCCCTCGTGGGCTGGATCGCCCCTCCTCAGCATGGGGCGGGAGCCGTGGGGCTGGGCTGGCTCATGAGCACAGCATGGGAGAGAGGATGGGACCCGCCTCATCCGGCCAGCAGGGTGAGTCAGCAAACAGCTGTGCCTCCCGCAGGCAGGGTCTCAGAGCCTGGCACCCAGGCGGCTGCCCTCACCTCCAGGGATGGGCCGGGGAAAGGGGCAGCAGGGCCCGTGAGCACTGAACCCTTCCCAACTCAACAGCCAGGGCCTGGTGCCCAGCTCCCACGGGGCCGGCAAGGCCTGGCCATGCTGCCGGAGTCTGGGGGGCATTCAGTGCAGCCCCCACCCCCTCAGGGCCCAGACGCAGCAAGTCCTGTGGGACTCTCCTTACCCAGCCGGGCCCAGCAGCGTCAGCGAGCCCGGCTGTCGCCCAGGACCCAGAGCTGGGGGTTTCACCCCAGGGCACGTCAGGAACGCAAAGCCCCCATGTAACTCCCACAGCTCCCTCCGCCCCCCCAGAGCCACGCTCCCCACACAGCACCCTCTGCCCAGCTCCCACGAAACCCCCTCACCAGGGAATCCACCACGTAACTGCAGGCGACGGTCACAGCCACATCCACTGTCTTTGCCGCAGGCCCACAGAGCCCCACCTCTCCCGTCAGCTGGGGACAGAACCAGAGACAGGGACGCGGCCCGTCAGCACCATGTCAGGCACGGGCCCCTGCCCTTCCCAACCTGCCCCCACTGGGCAGGGAGCCCCCAGAGCCCCCCGTCCCTCCCCCACACCCCAGGCAAGAGAGGAGAGCTGCCCTAGGATGAGGAAGGGGAGTGCCAGCAGCCTGGGATATGCCCAGCTAGAGAGGGAACCCCCCAGGGGCACAACTCGCTGCATGCCCAGGGCAAGGCCCTGCCTCTCTCAGTGCCTCAGTTTCCCAAACAGGGTAATAACCGCAGCCTGCCCTGCCTCCAGGGCGCCGGGAGGCTCAGCTCGTTAGCGTCCCTAACGTGCTTCAGTGGAGTCGGTGGCAGCCTGCAGTGTGGGGCGTCAGGGGGCAGCGTGTGGGCACACAAGGGTTTCGGGGTGCACGAGGACACAGACAGTGAGGGAGGGCAGGGCCCTGGCATTGCCCAGGGGGCAGGACAGCCCCCCACACATGCAGTCGGGGTGTCACTCACCGTGCTCTTCGCCCAATCGACATAGGAATTGAAGTATTCCAGCAGCGTGTTCAGAAAGGCCCGGCTCTCCTGGGGGAGGGGGACAGGGGTGAGGTGCTGCACCCAGGGCCAGCGGCTGAGAGCCTGGGCTCAGGGATCCCCCCAGGGAGGGGGGCTGAGGCGGAACGAGCGTATTAAAAGTTCAGAGCAGCTCGTGCCCCGAGTGGCTGTGGGGGGGGAGGACCCCCTGTGGGCTCAGGTCTCTGCTGGGACGGGATGGCTCTGTGCCGTGACCCCACCCATCCCCACCCCAGGGGGTCAGAACCTTCCCAGTGCCCTGCCCCCGGGCATCCCCCGAGGCTTTCGCGGGGGGGGGTGCAGGGAACCCCACGGCAGAGACAGGGCTTTTCCTCCCAGTCCCAGGTCCTGCTGTGCAGCCCTGGGAGAGGGGAGGGTCCCCCGAAGCCGTGGGGTGTTCGTCCGAGGCCCCCCTCCCCGGAAGGGGCTGGGAGGGGCTCACGTTGCTGATGATCTCCGCAGCCCTGGTGTCTAGGAAGGTCTGAGCGTCCTCGATCCGCTGCAGCGTGTCATTGATCTGCGCCTGGGGGGCAAGGAGCGGGATGGGACCCAGCAGCTCGGCCAGGCCTGGGCTGGGCCCCAGTGCAGAAGGGGGAGCCCCCGGCAGCCCCTCACCCGCCCTGGCGGGCAGTCGCCTGGCAAGGGGAGTCGCCCCCGGGCGTCCTGTCCCCACATGGCCACAAGGTGGCAGCTTCTCAGCAGCGTCGGGTTCCCAGTGTCGGCTCAGGACACCCGGCGCTCAAAGCCCCTTGCAGGGTGCTGGGCAAAGCAGAGACACTGCTGACCCCGCCAGTCCCTACAGGCTCCCACCCGACAGCACAGGGCCCCTCGACCCCGACCCACAGCCCCTGCTAGCCCAGCCCTGGGCTCCCCCACCCCAGCTCTGCCTGTGCCCCTCACTCCCGACCCGCAGCCCCTGCTAGCCCAGCCCTTCCCCCGCAGCTCTGCCAGGGCCCCTCACTCCCGACC